AGAAGTATTTTGGTCATTTGTATCAAGTGCAGTGTGGCGAACCTCATAGGCATTATCTATGAAGACCCGGAATTAGTATTTACTTTTCGAAACTGTTACTCGGTTTTCTCGACCGGGAATAACCGTAATTTTATGCCTTTGCTTCTTAGGTAAGGTTGGACTGCATGATGTCTTTATGAATATCTCGCAACGGCTAATTTCGAGTTTTACTTTACTCTAGGAACAGCTGGCGACTCCTTTACTGAACCAGTCATGGCCATCCCTTTTCAACCATGGATCGGGACAATGACAGATCTAGTAGTAACTGTGCTGAGAAATATAAAGGAGCCTGGTGGCATATTGACTGTTATTTCTCAAATCTGAACGGTGTCTATCGTCATAAAAAGGAATCAGCTACCAAGTTTGGAGTCAGATGGATTAGCTGGCGCGAAAAGCCCCAGTCTTTGAAGAGGGCTGAGATGAAAATCAGACCGGTGGAGTTTTAGAGCACATATGCTGGCTTACTGAGAGAAATAAAATTCAAAAGGAATATCGAGCAGACTTGGCCCGATTACTTAGTCCAAACAAAATCTGATGTCTCTTTCTCTCTTCCCCCCCCTCCTTTTCCCGCCCTATAATACAGCTGGCATAATTTTCAAATACCAATGAAGAGTGACAACTGACAGGACTCCCGCGACTTTCAGCAAGGATAACAGTTAAGTTTGAAATTTTCCCTAAATCAGAATCCGCTTTTGGGGTTTCCAATTGATCGTTTATATAAGAGCCGAAAGAAATTCTTGTATTGTTTAGCTTATAACCTTGATGAAAGTGAATAGAACATACATGCGAATACTTGACGATGTTATTTTTTACCGCATCTCTCCTGATGTTTAAAATTCATCGATCGCGCCTTCTTTTGGAAGTTTGTTCTGTGAGTGCACGTTGATGTTTAATTTTGGTTAGACTTTTATAAAATATTACATATGTTTCTCCGTCTGAACGATTGGAGCAACCCATAATGCAACAAAATCTCCCCATCGTTGCAAAAGTTCCCAAGCACAACTTGCTTCTCACAACGCTTCATCTGGTAAGGCCCGAAAATATGTCTGAACTCTGATAAAAATCTTAGATGTCTGTCTTTGTTGTTTTTTTGTTGGCTTTATGCTGATCTGGTCGCATTCCATTTTTAGCAGACAGCTCCATTTATTCGTGCAAAGAAATTTTTGAAAATCAAAAGTAAGTCGTCGCTTTCACTGGTTTTGTTACTCGGTTCCATTTAAGGTCAAGTTTAAGTAAGGCTATGGCGAGGTTTCTAAGGCAGAAATCCAGAGCTTTCGTCTTTCTTCCACACAAGGTTTCGTACCGAAGAAAACTTAAATTCGACCCTTTGGTTACAATACTCAGTCAGGCTCGAGGTCCAGCGTGGCCTCTCGAGGTCTAGCGTGGTCTTTCGAGGTCTAGCGTGATCATATTGTATGCTCGAGTAGAGATATCTTATACACCGTTTAGCCTGAAATTCTACGTGGAAGTAAAGGAGTAGATGAAAAAAAATTCAAAGCTTTCGGGTACATTCTAGTGCAGTGACAAAGTAACTAAGGGCTACGATTTGAAAAACAAACACTATCTACTTACAAATGGTTTCCTGCTGTAGTTTGGAGCGCCTTCGCCGTTCAATATTTTCTTCTAGTTCGCACACCTTCAGAATCTCACGCCATGCCCCAAGTTATAAGAAAGGTTTTTAAATAATTTTTAATGCTTTTCCATAAAATACAATAACTTGAATTATATTTACTGCAATAAATTCTGTCAGTCAAAAAATAGTCTTCAAATGAATCATTTAATTTTGGATGATGATTCAAATGGTATTAAACCCCTTTAAGCTGTCAAGCAGCACTTTCATGTTCTACTGTTTGTTTTTATGGATTCTGCACATTGGAATTCAAAGATTTCTTCTCAATTTTGACTTAGCACTCTTGGGAGTGAAGGGGTTAATTACAGTTAAATAAAAATGATTTTTTAAATTAAAATCTTATTGTAACTGTAACAATAAATTAGAATGAAGTTATCCTAAACTGCAGACTTAGCTGCTGTTTGTTTTTTTTCCTGGGCTCGCAGCTTTCTCTGTTGGCCTCGAATGAGGTTGTCTAAAAGAAGCCTTTCCATTTTCTATCTGGATTTCATTGCATAAAAAAATTAGCTCAGACAAAGCCTTAGATAGCTATAAGGAAAAGGGCATTCATTGGAATCCTAATTTAACAAAGTGCAATGGGATTGGGAATTATCTGCTTTACTAAATGATTTTTATATTGGAGTTAGCACATCTCTTCCTTAGATTTACTAAAAAAGGGCTGAACACATTATTTTGTTTTTATCGAGGAGGGCTTATTTATGTAATCAGGTTTGGTAAGTCACAGTTTGTATTATGAATCTACAATGTTTCAAAACGTGACCAATTAAAGGTAATCTTGAAACGTTACTGATAGATTTATTTCATTGTAAAGTGTAAACTTGAAAAACGGCGGCATACAAGTGACCGTTTGATTCTCAGAATTATTCGAGTTTTCAATTCAAGCCGTTATATCTATTCTTTGGTAAGATTTTGATCACGTAACGAATATCGCAATTTTTACACACCACAAACTTTCAAAATCGTAGCTCTATAAATGGCCACTCGACTCTTATTCGTACCAGTCGATATGTCAACTGTTGTCCCGTCTTTTAACTCCACGGCGCCAACGACTTTCTTTTCACTTAAAACACTCACGCTGTTCTCGTTTTCCCATTGAACCACAATAAAACCCATCTTTAGAAACATTATATTAAGCAAAACAGTGGAGAAAAGAAATAACATGACGCATGAGCGATCAACCGTTGAAAAGTACATTCAAAGATGAGCGCGAAATGGAGTCTTCTTTGTTTCCGATTACGGACATATCACGTGCATCTTTTGGGAATTGTCATCGGCTAGCAAGAGAATCCACTGGTTTGCCCAATTGCAGTTTCAAGAGAAGCGCACAAGTTTATACTGATTTCTCTGACCGCTCGTCCCTTGGATCCATGTTCTGATAATGATATAAATAACGATGTGGGCTCGTTCTATTAGAAATAATCGACAAGAATTGATCGTATCACAAATGCACGATTTGTGGCCGGAAGTTGTCGAGGAAACAAAGTATCAAAACCCACTCTGAGCAAGCTTGGTTGCCGTGCTGATCGATTTGTTCATCAGTTAAATATGACCCAAGCGACGATCCGGGCAATAAAAAGTGGAGATTCGATGCTAAAGGCAAGCCTTCTTCGAACGGAAAACAGAATTATTTTAACGTCTGGATCTTTTGAAAAAAGGTCTCCTAAACGAGTGGCCCTGATTATAAATATTAATCATGGTAAACACATTAGCCTTAACTTGGCTGTTTCTCAAAGCTCAGTGTTTTCCTACATGCCTTTTTCACGTGAAATGAGGCGATTGAATATATATAATAAACACTAAAAGAACTACAGCTGATGGAAATTTTAAATTTCGTATCAAAAGGCTGTGGATACAAACTTATTAATGACTCTAAAAATATAAAAAATCTATAACGAAATTTTTTTAGAGTTGCTTAGCTTTTCATTTTTCCGCAATCGAAAGTCGAGACTGCAAAATTCAAGTGAAAAGCAAACCAACTGTGATTAACACCTTAAACAAGTCAAGATACTTTTTTTCGTCCTACCACAAGTTACATATCGTAAATGTCATTCTTGTTGATGCCTTTCCCGATGCCTCCGTTAGTTAATATAGCAGTAAAAATATTGTTCCAGTCAAAGCGTTTGGAAAATTGCCTAACTTTTTAAGTAGCGAAGTCTAACCTGGTAACATTTTGGCTTTACAACACGATTGTTTTTTGCAAGTTAAAAAACGTAAATACAATTCTGCTTGGTGCTTTTCCGAATGCCACCGATGCCTTTTCCGATGCCTCCATTGTTTAATACAGCGGTGAAAGATATATGTACCATCAACACTTTTAAAGAATTGCTTAAAATTTTATTTAGCGAAGTATACTGTTAACATTTCGGCTTTACAACACTATTGTTTTCTGCAACTACATCTGATATGTCTCTATATGACCTATTAAAGTTGTTTCCCCGCTGACCACTCGTATTTCGGTCTTTTCTTCTTCCCCCACTCGTTACCCGTGATGTAGTAACTCCCAACAGGTTCTCTTCGACACATGTTCGTCACGCAACGACTTCTATTTTTTTACCGATGTGCGTTACATTTGTGATAGTTTTCTTCATGCTTTAGCTTTGAACAATGACCGATACTCAAGAAAGTGTCGTGATAAACCAAAATACTAATGGTCAGATATTTGGATTCTTAAGGAGATTAGTGAACAGCTGTACTGCAAGTGAATGGTCTTTTAACAAAACCATCGCGGCTGTGGTTGTTGTTGGGGCGGCTCTGTACCATTATTACGCCATCCAATCCCTAGAAGCCCGCTTTGAAACAACTGTGGAGAAAATGCTTGATAAAAGGGAACAAGGCTCCAAAACTTTCATCAAGGAGGCTATCAAAGAGTCCGAGACTAACGTGCTTAGAAGACTGTTAGGTAGGTAATGTAAAGTTAAAAATTATAGCGTCAGATGTTTCTCTACAATAAGCACCAAACTCGTGGTAAACGTAGCTATGCATTTTAATCATGTAGAATGTATTTTTATTTAATAGAATGTAATTCCATTCGATTGGAAGCCAAAATGTCTTTGGGTATTTTTTCGCAGACATCAAACCCCTAGAAACAACTATGGAAAAAATGCTTGATAAAAGGGATCAAGGCTCCAAAACTTTCATCAAGGAGGCTATCAAAGAGTTCGAGACTACATTGCTAAAAAGACTGTTAGGTAGGTAATGTAAAGTTATAAATTATAGCGTCAGGTGTTCCACTACAGCAAGCATCGCATAAAAGTTCAATTTGAATGAAGACGTTCAAATTCGTGGTAACACGTAGCAATGCGTAGCTATGCATTTTAATCTTGTAGAATGTATTTTTATTTGATGGAGTCTAGTTCCATTCGATTTGAAGCGAAAATATATTTGAGTATTTGTTCGCACACATTATCTTCGGTAATAATATCCCGAGTAGCTACTCGAGAATGAAGCCGGAGTAAGACTGTGATGCGCTTTGCGTGACCCCGGCGTAAAGTTGTAGATATGGTCTAGTCGCATTTCAATCAAATTCATGTCGGAGCCCATGCAAAGCTCTCCGAAAATATGAAACTGCAGACGGAAGAAGCAAAAATCTTAGAAAACTTTTAGGATCGACCTTCCACACATGTAATAAGCACTATTATGTAAATCATTGATCAGATTTGAATTGCAGATTTGCCGCCAAACCAAAACATAGTCGAGCAACTTAAAGAAAATGCAAAAATAAAAATACCTTGAAATCAGCACAGACTGGTTGAATGTCTGGGAAACATGGGCGAATGAAAGAGAAAAAAAACCAAAATTTGAAGAATACTAGCACAAACATTTGGACAAAATGTCGTCACTTTTCAGCTCATGAATGTAAGCATATATTTTTCTGAGAAACTTTCAAAAACTTCACGCCTGATTTGACATGAGGTAACATTATATTTTTGATCGCTTTAAATAAAACTTGTGAGCAAAGGCGTAAGGAGTGCAAACTAGTGTGATGAATTAACTGTTGAGTATATGATAGATAAAACATCGTGTCAACTTGCTCGTGTTTTTCGTGATTTATGGGCACGAGTGATGCTTCGAGAGTTTTCAAATTTGCACTCGCCCACGGCTCATGCAAATTTGATAGCTTTCTAAACATCAATCATGCCCATAAATCTGGAAATCTACTCGAGTCCATACAATTTCCTATGTATACCCGAAAATTCCACAGGAGCACCTAACGTTAAATTAACAATATAATACTTATTATACAATGCTCAATTTCCTGGGCCGAGATTAAAAAGACAAAACTCACAATTCAGGTATTGTTTACCACAAGAGAAAGTTATCATAATTATTATTATTATTATTATTATTATTATTATTATTATCATCATTTTTTTATTCATTCACTTTTATCAGTGCGTAAGAACTGTGCCGAGCTTTATAAATCTGGTGAAATAACCAGCGGTGTTTATAATATCAACCCGGATGGTGCTGTACCTGACTTTGAAGTGTTTTGTGACCAAAAAAACACCGGCGGGGGATGGACAGTGGTCCAAAGGAGGCTAGACGGCTCTTTGGATTTCGACAGCAACTGGTCTGACTACAGGAATGGCTTTGGTAACCTTGATGGCGAGTTTTGGTTCGGAATGGAAAAGATACACCGCTTGACAAAATCCCCGAGCAAGCTTCGAGTCGATCTGGAAGATATTGACGGCAACACTGCTTACGCCGAATACGACATGTTTGTAGTAGCGACTGAAAGTGAGAAGTACCAGTTGAGCGTTGGGAAATATTCAGGTAAATTGTTTGAAGCAAATGAAAGTAATTGCTTTAATTTAACTAGTACCATTTAGTGGTTTCGAGAACGGCCTTAAAGTTTTTTGTTCATTTGTATCAAGTGCAGTGTGGCCAACTTCGTAGGCATTATCCATGAAGACTCGGAATTAGTATTTAGCTTTTAAAACTGTAACTCAGTTTTTTCGACCGAGGGTAACGGTGATTTGTGTCTTTGCTTCTTAGGTAAGGTTGCATGGATTGCATGACGTCTCTGGGAATATCTCGCAAGAGCTAATTTTGAGTTTTTCTTTACTCTAGGAACAGCTGGCGACTCTCTTACTCAACATCATGACTATACCTTTTCAACCGGGAGTTGGTACTTAGGCGACCCTGTACTTACCTGTTCTATGATGCTTAATAACGGCTTGTGGTCCGATGACTGTGCTTTCTTAAACCAGAACGATGCCTATCGTCATAGAAAGGAATCAGCCACTTTTGGAGTTTTCTGGTATCACTGGAAAAGATACCACCGTTCTGTGAAGAGGGCTGAGATGAAAATCAGACCGCTGGATTTTTAGAGTATACATGCTAGCTTACTAAGAGGAATGGAATTCAAAAGTAATTTCGGGTAAGTAACATTATTGACAAGTCATAGGGTTCGAATCATTCTCAGCCTTCCAAGGCAAAACATTTTTAATGGCGACTGTGTCGATGCGTCTGTCTTCCAATTAATCACAAGTAAGAACCGAGCGAAATTCATGTATTATTTAACTTACAACTTAATGAAAGTGAATAGAACACACATGCAGATCCTTGATGTCGCCATTTTTTTACCGCATCTCTCCTGATGTTTGCAATTCATCGATCGCGCCTTCTTTTGATAATTTGTTTTGTGAGTGCACGTTAATGTTCAATTATGATTGGAATTTTTTAAAATGATACATTAGTTTCTCTGTTTGAGCGATAGAAGAACCTGCAACGCAGTAAAATCTCTCCATCGTCGCAAACGCACCCACAACTGGCAGCCCATGAAGCGACATCCGGTGAGGCCGGAAAATACATGTTTGAACTCTGGAACAAATCTTAGATGTCTCTCTCTGTTGCTTCTCATTGGACTCATGCTGACCTGATTGCATTTCATGTTTAGCAGAGAATCAGAAGTAAGTCATCGCTTTCATGAGGCTTGTTACTTGGTCCCATTCAAGGTCAAGTTTAAGCGAGACTATGGCGAGATTTGTCAGGAAAAAATCCAGAGCTTTCGCCTTTCTTCCGCGCAAAGTTGCTTGCCGAAAAACTTTTTATATTCGGCCCGTTTACTTACAATACTCAGTCAGGCTCGAGCTTTCTTTGGTGTTATAAGTATCTATTGCATTTTTGAGATCTAGCGTGGTTATATTTTATGCTCGAGTAGAGATATCATGTACACTGTTCAGTCTGAAAGGCTACGTGAAAGAGAAGGAGTAAATGAAAAAAAGCGTCAAAGCCTTCGGGTACATTTTAGTGCAGTGACAAGGGAACTGAAGTCTACGAGTTGCAAAACAAACTCTATCTACTTACAGTTGGTTTCCTTTTGTAGGAGTTGATCAAAAGCGTGAGTCGATGTACGCAGACAAAACCTTACTGTTTAGTGTCAGTGCATCTAATTTCACATCTAAAGCTATGTGCCTATGCAGTAAGTCAGGGAATAGATATGTTTTAGCTTTGCTTAGTTCAAATGATAAGCATTGAACTTTCGATTTAAATGGAAAATTAAACGTGATTAAAAGTTTCTTTGTGATTCAATCTTTTTTTATGGGGCGAGGGTGGTGCGGTGATGATTGTATCGTTTCGAAACTGCATCATGCATTCAATCGGCATTAGCAGTAGCTATTACTATAGCGTTTTCATAGGGGCGAATCCAGGAAGCTTTAATGGGGGAAGAGGTGCCTAAACTTTGATTAGTCTCGTTCGGTGACCTTTCACGGCCAAGCGGTTGTAGTTCCAGTTACACGGCAAGATTTGGGTACGAGATTAAACCTTGAATCAAAGAAAATATAGTAAGACAAGTTAATATACAACACAGCCGAACAAAGTAAACAATAATACTCCACCAGCGCTTAACCCTTCAACCCCTAAAAGTGACCAGTATCCAAGTTCTCCTTACAACATCAGCTCTGAATCATTCATCAAGGTCCAAAATAAAAGAAATGATCACCAACTGAAGAAGCTCTTGATTGTTAAACAAATTCTCCTTGTCAGCATCTTAGGAAATGTAAAGAGAATAGTATGGAGAATATGGAACGGTTAAAGATACTAAGTTTGTCAGATGTGATTATTACCGACAATAATAAATCCATTATCATAATGACAGTGAGCTCACGGTGTAGATGATAACTCTTGCTATGGATATGCAATTAGTGAAACCAGAAGCAGGGATTAGAAAGGAGTACTCATGTTTTAACTTCAAGTTTGGCTATTAGGTTTCATTTCTAAATTGCATGATTCTAGTATATTAGGGATTCCTAAATTGAATCAAGAAATGTGTGAAACTGCAATAGCTATTAAATTGAACAGTGGACTGAGACTTTCTTTAGCTTCTAAATAGTGAGATGTTAGAATCGATGGTCGAACAGTGATAACCACGGTCAGTAAAAACTTGACCTGTAATAATGTTCATCTAGAGAAAATTACCTCCCTTTCCCCAAAAAATGAAACGCCAGAGGAAGGTAAAAAATGATACCTTTTGGCACAGCTTATCAAAAACCCATGTTTTATC